TCTAAGTCCCTTCCAGGTCAAACTTTGTGTATTCTTTATTTTGTTTTCTTTTTTCTTAATTTATTTTGAGTCATCAACAATCACTTCCATAAGCTTTTGAGTTTTAAATTTTTCTCTCCCTCCCTCCTCAAGATGGTGTGCAATCTGATATAGGTTATACATACACATTCCTATTAAACATGTTTTCACATTAGTCATGTTGTAAGGAAGAATTAGAAACAATAGGAGGAACCACAAGAAAGAGGAAACAAAACAAAACAGAAGAAAAAAAAAGAGCTACTACTATACTTTGATCTGCACTCAAACTGCATAGTTCTTTCTCTGGATATGGATAGCATTTTCCATCACGAGGCCTTTGGAGATGCCTTAGATCCTTGCATTGCTGAGAAGGGCTAAGTCTATCAAAGTTAGTCACCGAACAACATGGCTGTTACTGTTCTGCTCACTTCACTCAGCATCAGTCCATACAAGTCTTTCCAGGTTTTTCTGAAGACTGCCTGCTCATCATTTCTTATAGCACAGTAGTATTCAATTACATTCATATACCACAACTTGTTCAGCCATTCCCCAGTTTGTGGGCATCCCCTCAATTTCCAATTCTTTGCCACCACAAAAAGAGCTGCTATAAATATTTTTTTGTACATGTGGGTCCTTTCCCCATTTTTATGATCTCTTTGGGATACAGCCCCAGAAGTGCTATTGCTGGGTCAAAAGGTATGCACATTTTTATAGCCCTTTGGGCATAAACTTTGTGTATTCTAAAATTCCTTCCAAGGCTGACATTGCAGGTCGTATGTACTAACATCTAATATTCTAAGGTCCCTTCCAGATTTAAGACCCTGTTTTCCAAGATTTCTCCAGCTCTATCATTCTATTTTGCATCATGCTCTGTTTTAAGGTCCCTTTCAGGGATGGTTTGTATTTACATGTTCAGTGTTCTAAGGTCCTTTCCAGTATTGACAGTCTTTTTTAAGGTCTCTCTCAGATCTAGATGGTATATTCTGAGGCTCCTTCTCACTCTCTCATTCTATGCTATAAAATTCTATGTTCTAAGACCTCTTATGGGTGTAATATTTTGTTTTTCATTAGAACATCTCCTCTTCTAAAGTGTCTTCCAGCTGTGACATTTTGTTCTAAGGTTCCTTCCATCCATGTCCTATGTTCTCAAGTTCCTTCCAACACTAACATTATGGTTTTTATTTTTTTTTTAACACATTCTATGTTTTTTCTCCAGTCCTATGGTGCCATGTCTACCCTCTAAGGTCCTTTAATGATCACTGACATCATTTACTGGTTCTGTAAAAAAAACAAAAAACAAAAACAAACAAATAGCAAATAGCAAATATAAGACATAACAAAACCTTTTGAATTGTACTCATTAAGAGCAGTCAAATAAGCTCTTACTTTTTTGGAAGGCACTGGGGAATGCTTAGAGATTGGTTAGACATTGAAGATGCCAAGGTCATCCACGGCATCCCAGGTCATAGACAGTCATCTTAACTTTTGTCCTGCCACTGGACTTCAATGACTCAGGAATAGAGAGAAAGACCAATGACTTTGGAGAAATTCTGAGTCACTTAACTCACTTGACCTGTGGATGAATTGGATTTAAATGAGGCAGAGTTTTGAAAAGATGTCAGCCAATTAAATCCAATTCATGCACAAGTCAAGATATCACCCATGATGTCACTGGTCCTCTTTGAAAATGAAGGATGAACAACAACATTGTTTTAATGTCTCTTCTAGGTCTAAGATTCTATTTTTTTTAATACTTTGACTTTATTATTATTATTATTGTGGCTTCTGCTTTTCCATATTAGCACTTGTAGGTAACAGGGCTCAAAGAGGATTGGTCAGAATCGATAGTTTCCCCAAGCATCCACAAAAGCTTGTTCAGTTTTCTCCTTTGCAGCACTGGAGAGTTAGAATAAGTCTGAGGTCACAGCAGGAGTGAGGAGACAACTGTTGCTGTAGATGATGTGACATTGGTCGGATTTGTGCTGACATTTGTCCAACTTCCTTTGCCATTTGGGTTCAATTCCTTAGTGGCCATTAGGCTTGAATTGGCTCTATCGATTGCTCTTGCTACACTGTAAAGGTCAGGCTGGTAGAATAGCTTATTCCATTATTACCAACCAAAGTTACTGGGACTTAGACTGGCTGATGAGCCTCCAGCCTTCTCAGAATGCAGAAATGTCTGGGACAACAGAAAGCTCTCTGCACATTTGTACATAGTTTTAGCTTCCACATCCCCAAACCAAACACATACATTTGGAGTAAAATTCCATCCTGTAAGTTCTAGTATCGCTACATCTCCACTACCATTCAACTGAAGACTTTCTACAACAGGCATAGATATTACTAGAGCATGAACAAGTCCCAAGCCCTCGTAGAATGTAAACTCTACCTTATCTGTACTATTGATTGTCCATGAAGGTCTATCATTTATCATCTCTTTATTTGGTTCTTTAGGGCATGGAGTGGCTTGAAATTGGATCATTCTCTCTCGAGAAAGGCACAAATAAATTCTGTATCCTTAAGATAAAATACACTTTTCTGTAGCTTTGACACTGGATCATCTGCATCTAGTAATGCAGTGTGTTTATCAACTTTTTGAATTATCAGTCTTGGGAGTGCCATGCCTGTAACTGAACACACAAATTTGACAGCCTGTTCATAATGGGTATAGCTGTCTCTCATTGTGAATTCTTCTCCTTCTGCTTCATCATCGTCTAAGAGATGAATATAAAATGCTTCCCACTGTTGTGCGTTGGCATGAAAATGCCTTCCTTCTACATGTAAATATCTGGTGCTGACTGTTTGTAATCTAAGGCAACTAAAAATGTCACTTTTGTTTCTGAAGCTATGTGTAAGTCAGCATTTTTCAATGATTGCTTCTTTTTAGAAGGTTTGGAGATGACTTCGATCTATTTACTGAGTAATACACCGATGTTGACACTGTTGCCATAGAACAGGGCTGGGGAACCTGTGGCCTCAAGGTCACATGTAGCCTTCTAGGTCCTTGGGTGTGGTTTTTTGACTGAGTCCAAGTTTTACGGAACAAATCCTTTTATTAAGGGGATTTGTTCTGTGAAGTTTGGATTCAGTCAAAGAGTGGCATTTGAGGACCTAGAGGGCCACATGGTGGTCTCGAGGCTGCAGGTTCCCCACTACTGCCACAGAACATTTTTACAGATAACCTGAAATGCTGTCACTTGTCTGAATCAGATATATGCAGTGTTTTGACTGGGCAATAGTTCTTTCCTTCCAAGTTCAACTGCTGCATTTCTTGGTCACTAGTTCCTATTCCGATAAATGCACATGGTTGAGGTTCTTGTTCAGAAGAACCTTCATGTTCCATTAGCTCTTTTTCCCCCTTCCATCCACTGCCCATAAGATATACACAAGGAGGAGGACAAAAAACCCTTTTTCATTTCCATAAGACTTTTGTGCACCTTTTGCATGGAGTATTGGTACGGTTTGATCATCTCACTCCTTTAGTTAGTTTCACATTGTTTCTTTAGTGAGTTGTTTAGGTTGAAGCTGTTCACCAAATTTCCTTTTAATCAATGCCACGGTACTTCAACAACACATTAAGGTGAACCACAGCTCAGCACACTTCTGCTGCACCTCAAAACACCTCAGCCAGTCTATCATTCTCCTTTCCTTTGGAGATCATAATGGCTCCAACGAACTATAATGTTTCCATGTCAACGTCAGTCTCATACAAAATTTCAATACCTTAAACAGGAGAAAGAAATACATTCCTTCTTGGTGTGAAACCCAACACCACCGGACAGGTTAAGATGATCACCTTGTACCCAAAGCCCTGGTACATCTTCTTGGTGGCTCGAGTGTCAGGAAATACTGACCGTCTTGTTTGCTCTCCTTCCAAAAACCGCACAGCTCCATCACCATGATGTAATGGAATGGTCTGCCTAAGAGTGTTAGGCTCTTTCTCCTTTCATAGTGTGCCTCCAAGGAGCTTCAGAGAAGAGTCTACTTTTTTACCTTTTAAAATGCCCTCTATTCTAAAAATTTTCCCAGCTGTGACATTCTGTGTTCTAAGATTTCTTCTACATGTAACATTCTGTTTCATGTTGTCACAATCAGTGTTCTAAGGTCCTTGGTAACATCTATATTCTGTGATGTAATGATCCCTTCAAGGAGTAACATTCTACATTTTATGTTCTAACGTCTTTATTCTTAAGTGAGTCTAACATTCTCTGTCTTAAGGCTCCTGATAGCTTTAACATTTTATCATCTTATATTGTGTCTGAAGTGTCCTTTCCAGCTCTCATGTTCTGTGATTTCATCTCTGCCTTTACTTGCCAGGAGCTGCCTGGCACAGAGGATGAGGGCTCCATCCAACCATTCCCTGGTATGGCCTGAAGGTGATTTGCTGCACACTTGGCCAGGGGGAAAGTAGAAGTGTTTCAGCCAAATTAAAAAATTCCATTGATGCCATCGGTGTAATGTTTTTGGTTTTTTTTTTCTGTTTTAAGATAATGATGAAACTAAAAGATTAGGTTGCTAAATTAGGTGGGAGGATGAATGTAAAGGGATACTTCCTCTTGAGCAAAAAAAAAAATTTTTTTTTGAGAAAGGTTTATCCTTTAGGGAAGACTTCAGGACCTCAGTGTAAAGACCAGCCTGGAGAGGGTTTGACTTTGAGGCCCTGGTAAGGTGGGGGATTGGCTGGCACATGTCCATCACAGCCTGGAATGCCCAAGATGCAGGCATTGAAGACCCTGGCCCTAGAATGAACAGAGCTGGATGAGACCGGGGAGGCAAGGACACCACACGGATGAGGTCCCCTTGGGCATCTCTCCTCACCCCGCTCCCTGCTCCCACCTCCACCCAGGCCCAGCCAATTCAGCACCCCTCTCTCTGTGCTTCCAGCAAACTACAGCTCCCAGCATCCTCCAGCGCCCAACACCTGCCCAGGCCTCCTCCACTTGGGCTGCAGGGGGAGGGATACAGAAGAGGAGCGCAGAGAGATGAGGATGGAAGCGGGTGGGGACGTGCAGGCGGCGGAGCGGGACCGGGGGCCCCACGCGCCGCCCGTTGTCCCAGCGACCGGGCCGGGCCTCGGGGGAACCGCGGCCCGAGCCCCGGGCAGCTGGGGCAAGTGGGTCAGGCTCAACGTGGGGGGCACGATCTTTCTGACCACCCGGCAGACGCTGTGCCGCGAACAGAAGTCCTTCCTGAGCCGTCTTTGCCAAGGGGAGGAGCTGCAGTCCGACCGGGTAAGGCTGGGCCAGCGAGGCTGCGGGTTCGGGCTCTGCTCACGGTGGGGACGCGCCTCTGTGAGAGTGCTCAGGCGAGCGAGTGTGTGTGTGTGTGTGTGTGTGTGTGTGTGTGTGTGTGTGTGTGTGTG